GGGGAGAGTACGGTGCCAGAGAAGGCCAGCTGCTGGAGTCCAGGGCCCACACCGTGATAGATGGAAGATGCTGAGATCTTCAGGCCAGCAATGTGGGGCCAGGAACATGCTGCTAGACCACAATGGCACTTGCATAGGATCCAAGGGGACGAGGACAGCATAGCATTGTCCATCAGCAGGTGGAAGAGATGGAAAGAGGGCTTGTTTTACAAGTCAACTCCAGTCAGTGGATAGCTGCCTGATCACAGGGTGGAGAAGGCTTTGGGGCCAGGGACAGCCTGCAGGAAAGGGTGTCCTGATCAACCAGCCAAGTCCCTTGGGGACAGGGCAGGCCTCTAGTTCCTGCATGGCTCACCGTTGCTACATGGAGCTCCGGACAGTGGGTAGCTATGAAGGATAAACCTGCAAGGAACAGCTCAGGGGGTCTGGAGTATGTGGACACCAAGGATAGTCCCTCCAAGGGCATCTGGAGTTTGCCCCCACAGGGCTCTCAAGCCAGGTCTTGAGTTAGCACCATGGATAGTTCCCAAGGAAGCGGGAGGAAGGCGCTCAGGGGACCTGCAACTGGGGAGCATCATGGTGGACTCAGCCCTGGAACTACCAGATGGCTCAGAGCGGGGAGGGGCATCCTGGCTGTCCCCTTTCAAGGGCCAGCATCTATCAAGGCAGGCTAAGCCCCAAGACCAGAGGCTCCACCTTCATCCCATGGACACTGCTTCATCTGTGTCTCTGTGGACAAGTTCATCTGAGCTGGGTGGGGCTGAGTGAATCCTGCGGGCTCAGAGGAGGTATCTCTGCTCCCCCCACAAGCCAATGATGGACCGGAACAAGGCAGCTGAGCTCCCCAAACTACAGGTTGGCTTCATCGACTTCGTGTGCACATTCGTGTACAAGGTGAGCAGGGTGGTGTGGGGCCTGGCTAGGCTCGCAGGAGGAAGGGGGTTGCTGGTGTGGGTTCACCCAATGGCCTGGCCTGCCACAGCCCCCATCTCCTCATCCTTGCACTTAAAATCTGAAATCCTCAGTGTCACCCCAAGGAGTCCCTTCCCACTTTCCCCTAACCAGTTCCTCAGAAGCTCTTCATGCTTTCCCACAGGTCTCCACCCTCTGGGAGGTCCTCCCACTCACCATGAGGTCTCACCTCACATGTCCCTTCCCCAAACCCCATCTAGGGCACCCCCACTCATGGCCTGCAGCTTATCTGCAGGTGCATTTGTTCAGTGCCTGTGAACCCAGGAGGACAGGGATGGGTCCACCTGTCACAGCTGGGAATGCCTCACCCAGCAAACACATGTTGCACATGAGTGACCAGGGAACATTGTGCCGAGGACACACGCACTGTGACTTCACAGCCCAGAGGACTGTTCAGGGAGTGTGTCGGGGGTCTGACTGCAGAGCCCCTCCCAAGTGATGCCCAACATGCCCATGGGCTCCACTCCATCTGGTCCTGGGGGCTGTGATGAGGAGGTTGTCTGCTTCTGAGTAAAGTTACCCCTGACTGGACCAGGCCCACTCCCCACCTTGACCACCACAGCACCTGGGCTTCCCCTTACTGAAATCCCAGCTCCCTTTGCTGCCCCCTCAGTGGGGCTGTAAATGCTGAGAAGGAAGGCGGGACCAGGATGGACATCCCAGTCCTGAAGCTCACAGGTCACAGCCCCACCACATCGCTCCCCTCTCACTGCCTTCCCCAAGTCCACCCACACACTCCATGGCTCATGTGTGTGTTTGCGTGTGCATGTATGTGTGATGTACGTAGAAGAGACCAGAGAAGGGGCTGCAAGACCAGCATGTCTGCCCGAGACTTCCCACCCCTTCTGCCGAGGGACTCCCCTTCTGCCATTGATATTTTCTACTCCATTCTTGGGGTCCTTACCCCACTAAGACCGTCTGTGCCCTCCCCATCCTCTCTGCTCTGTCTCCTGGGCTTTGCTGGGAAAGTAACATCTCAGTGGCCTTCCCTTCTCCCTCAGACAGGCCCCCTCCCAGGTTCTCCTCTTGGGTGAGCGGGGCAGGGTGTGGGGGGACAGGCTGGTGCCAGCAAGGGCCAAGATGTGGGGAGGCCACCTGCCCCAGCTGCCTAGGAACAGTCAGGAGTGGGGCCCGACTTCTTGATTCCCTGTCTTCCCGGTCCAGGAGTTTTCCCGTTTCCATGAAGAGATCCTGCCCATGTTCGACCGACTGCAGAACAACAGAAAGGAGTGGAAGGCCCTGGCTGACGAGTATGAGGCCAAAGTCAAGGCCCTGGAGGAGCAGAAGCAGCAACAGGAGGACAAGACAACAGCCAAGAAAGGTGTGGGCAGCGGGGCGGGCACGTGGTTAGTCCCCACATGGAAGTGTGCGAAGGGACGGAGGTTAAGCAAGAGCTGACTCTGGCGGACAGGCCGGTGGCCAAGGTGCTGGGGCTGGTGAGCTGGGTTCCTCCCTGCAGAGGCATCGGGCCTGTGGGCCCAGTGCAGTCAACAACCCGGACTGCGGCATCTCCTTGATCCTCGCCAGAGATTCTCATTTTCTCTAACCAAGTAGCTATTTGAATGTTACTTCCTTGATAAAGGGAGGAAACATCGGGAACTCTCAGCAGCTCTTTCTTCCACCACCAAGCAGCAGTTTTCTCCTAAATAACTTAGGAAAATCTCCACTTCCATCTACCCTCAGAAACCAAACAGAAGACCTAAGGGCACCCATCTGACTCCGGTTCAGGTCATGATCTCGGGGTCCTGGGTCGAGCTCCACGGTGGGCTCTGCGCTCAGCAGGGAGCCTGCTTCTCCCTCGGGCCCTCCCCCTTCTCGTGCACACGCGCACGCTCTCTCAAATAAATGAATAAAATCTTAACAAAAACAAAACAAAAACAGAAGACCCAAAAAAAGAAATTAAGTGAGCTGAGTCAAGCGTACATGACATCTTTCCCTGTACTGTGTCAGAGCCTTTGTTTACCTGCTCACCCCCCACCACTGCGTCCCCTTGTGGGAATGTGGCTCACGTGGCCTCATTGTGAGGGGCCGGCACACCCCCCAGATGGAATCCCTGATGTTGTTGCCATGGTATTTGCCTGTGCATGGCCACTTCAGCCCTGGGACTTTTGTTGCTATTTCCTGCTGTGGGGAGGAAACCGATGTCCGGACGGTTTTGGGCTTGCGGGGGCCAGAACTGAAAGTGTCACAAGAACAAGATAAGAAAGGCTGAGCCCTGGCTAGGCTAATCGGCTTAGGCTGACCACAGGTCCCACACTCTGCCCTTCCTCCCATGGGGCTGGCTGAGGACACTGGGCGGAAGGGGCGAGGCCAGTGCACAGTCCTCTCACCATCTTGTTTCTCTTGCAGCGGGCACAGAGATTTGCAACGGCGGCCCCGCACCCAAGTCTTCGACCTGCTGCATCCTGTGAGCCGCTCCGTGTGTTCTGATGGCGCCCCAGTCCATTCACCCGCTGGGACTCCACCTTTTCTTGCTACAAGAAAATGACTGAAGACAATTTTGGGTATTTTGACATTTTTTTAAGACTTATGTTTTTATAAACTAAATCACCTATGAATAAACAGTTTACCGTACTTCACACTCATCCATCTTTTGGGTGCACAGCAATACCACAGAGATGTTTGGAAAGGGTCTGCGAACTGCGAGTCGGAAAGCTCTGGGTGGGATCCACAACTGCACATGTATTTATGTGTCTACGGGTCGATGAGATACAAAGATGCTGTTGGCTGTCTGGTTGGGAGGAAATATGACCAGAAATTCAGAATAAAATAAAAAGAAAACAAGTTGCCCTTTTCTTTAATACAGCAGAAATTATGGTGGAGGGCACATCATGGAGGACCCATCCGAAAATTCTGCCAAAAGGTCAAGGCCAGGAGTGACCTGCGCAAAAACACGTGTAACAGCCCTCTGCATGGAGGTTGGGGGAGCACACTGCCGTGGCTGGGGTCTGCCCACGTCCCGTACAAGTGAGGGTGCCCTTTGTGTTTGCACCAGCACAGCGAGACCCAAACGCACGACTCACACGTGAAATGGGTGCTAAGTATCTGGTGGAGGTTAAGGACTTTTAAAGTCCTGATAATGTGAGCTCCACATCGTTTGTTCCCAACACTGCACACTTAACCCCACAGCAAACTCCTCAGCTGCCTGATTAGACTGGTTGCGGAAAGGCCAGCTCAGATGCCACTCAAGCCCGCCTCCAGAGCTCCTGAGCTCCTGGGCAGGTGGTGAGGGGAGAATGGGGAGGGGGGAGCCACCCCCCACAGCCGTCCAGTCACAGGAAAGAGGCAGTTCGCATCTCAGCGGGGACACCTGGTGACAGTCCATGATTAGGGCCAGGCCATCCTCCCAAGGGACTCCGCACCAGCCAACCGGAAGGAACTGAGCTGGGCTCACTCAACCTTCACCAGAACTAAAACCAAGGGTTTAAAGTGCTTATCCACTGCTTCTCATCTTCCCCCTCACATTTGCAAATGAATTCACTTTATCAACAAAACTTGGGCTCAGGGAAATTTGCTCAAGGCCTGGGGCTGGGAAAGAGCACATGCCAACACCAGGCCTCAGAGGCTGGAAGAGCACAGCAAGGAGGGGCAGAACCTAACTGTCAGCTCAGCAAGAGCCCAAGCCCACTACAGAGCTTTATGCAGCACCCCAGCCTGATGCCCAAAAGCCCACGGGCCTTCCTTAGAGTTGAGGGGAGGGCTCCTGACAGGGGGATGAAGATCCAGGTCCCCGGCATTTGCACGGCCCATCAAGGGTCTGGGCTCATTGAAGACCAAGCAGCAGCCGCAATACCCAAGCTGGCTGTGTGGGGTATAAACTGCTCCCTCTGGGCATCCCCAGTCAGACACTCCAGAGAACAGGTGACAGAATTTCTGTGTTCCCGGCCCGTCTGTGCACTGCCCTCTGGGTCTGTGATAGGTGCCCAGTTCTTCTGAAACCCACTCCCCATCCCCACCCCACAGAAATGGAGGACAGAGCACAACTGCTGAGCTGGAGTCCGGAAATCAGACAACTGGCGACGAAAAAGGAGAGCATCAAACACAGAAAGCTTTATTCATCCACACCACTCCAGAGAAAGGCAGGCTCACTTTAGTATGCTGTCGTCTTGGGCTGAAAGGTTCAAAGGAAAACACTCGTGTTATTACACGCTCAGGCAACCCAAAAGGACTACTTCACATGTTCAGTGCTCAACAACCCAGGATCTAGCTACAGTGGAGAGCCCGACCATGCTCTGCCTCAACTCTTGTCCCTGCACACTGACTGCAGCCTGCCACAGCACTCAGTGGGGGATGCGTACCTGGTTCCAGTCCTGTGGGCCCCTCTGAGGGTGGCACATTCCCAGACAACTAACCTCCGAGGCCTAGGGACCTGGTGGGCCTTGCCCAAGGCAAGGTGTCACCGTGTCCCCCAACATCCACGGCCCTGCTACATCTCTCCCTCCCGCAGAGGACCCACTGGCCAGTGCTGGAAGAAAGGAGGCAGCTCCTAACCCCCACTGTGGGGTTCACCTGAAGCAGCACCTGTATGTTTCTCAAGTCTGGGCAGAGGACAAGGCCGTAAGATGCAGTGTACCTTCTGCCAGTTCTCTCTCAATCCGTTTCCGTTCATCCTGCTTCTTTTTCTCCTCAGCGGCTATCCTCCTCTCCTCTTCCGCCCGAGGTTTCAGGTAACCTGTGTAAGGAAAGCATGAAGATGGGAAGGTACTTTCAGCTTCTTCACCAAAACGCTGCATAAAAGGAGTTTAGTGCACGTGAATGCCTGATGCATGTGCTCTCCATTCTTTTCCTTCCACGTGGATTAAGGCCTGACTTTCCCTGCTCAGCAAAGAGCCCAACCCAGAGGGCAGCTGCAGGGGCCCCGCCTGCCAGATGCCCCTCCACCTCACCGCCCTTCTCTGCCCGGCAATCGAGGCCACCAGAGGCTGCTCGCGTCTGACCGCAGCACTCCTCCAACACCCACTTGGCACCCCGATTTTCAACAAGAACTAGCCGTTCTCCAGCTCCCGGGGGGTGCCCAGCATCAGAATGCGCTTTGGCTCCTGACCATCTGCGCCAATCCCAAAGCAACCTACACACCTGCCGCGCCGCTCAGGGGTCAAACTCACTCGGGTTTCTGGGGCTGGGGCCTCCCAACCCTGCCCCCTTTCTTGCCCTTCGCCGGGGCTTAGTAGATGGCTCTGGGGAGCCCCCCTGGCTCTGAGAAGACCCAGTGCTACCCTGCCTTGGGCCAAGACAGCGGCGCGGTCACTCACTGTAGCGCTTGGCTCCATAGGCCACGCCGAGGAACAGGGCGGAGTAGCGGCCAAGCTGCGGGCAAAAGACGGTCAGAGGCGGGGCAGGAGGGTGCGGGGGGGGGGGGTGAGTCCCGGGAGCGCGGGGCCTGGGGGGGATCCCCAGCCCGCGAGGTCGGAGAGCGCAGGGAGGGAGTCCCGGCAATGCGGGGACTGGGGAGGGAGTTCCCAACCGGCGGGGTCGGGCGGACAGGCGGTCCCCAGAGCGCGGGGTCGGTGGGCGCAGGGGGGTCCTGGGAGCGCGGGGACTGGGGAGAGAGTTCCCAGCCCGCGGGGTCGGGGACGCAGGGCGGGAGTCCCGGGAGCGCGGGGACTGGGGGGCGTTCCCAGCCCGCCAGATCGGCGGAGCAGGGCGGGGGTCCTGGGAGCGCGGGGAGCGCGGACCTGGGCGCGGGTTCCCGGGAGGGAATTCCCAACCCGCGGAGTCGGGGGCGTAGGGCGGGGGCCCCGAGAGCGCGGGCGGTGCGGACGGGGGCGCGGGTCTCGGGGAGGGGGTTCCCGGCCCGGGGGTCGGGGGTGCAGGGCGGAGGTCCCGGGGGCGCGGGGAGTGGGGGGGTCGCATCCGCGGGGGCGCGGGTCCCGGGCTCGCTGGGGTCGTGCACGCGGAGCCGAGCACCCGGCGACGGCCGCAAAGCCTCGTTCACCTTGATGAGCGGGGAGACTGGCACCGGCGGCACCATCTTGTCCGTAACCTTCACGCCGGAAGCACAATCTGAGGAGGACGCTGCAAGGGCCCAGAAAGCTGCGGAGACGTAAAAGCGTACAAGGGCGAACGCATGCGCCGTCGGCGGCGAACAGAAGCAGGACGGCGCCCCCCGGTGGACGGAGGTGGAACAGCATGCGCCCGCTCGGGGCGGGGACCACACCGGGCGCGCGGCTCGGCATCAGCTGCGCATGCGCGATTGCGGGAGAAGCCGTGTCGGCTGGGCGGCGGGGGTGGGTTTTGCCCAGGGTGTAAAACCCGGCCTACCCTCATGTTCCCTGCAGCCTCTGACGCCGTCAGGCCAGGTTGAGCACCAGTGGAGCCCGCCCATTATAGGTCCAAATATTTGAAAAATATAAGTCAGTCTCACAAAGTGTGAAGTAGATGGCTCTCTATCCTCCTGCAGTGCCTGGGCTCTCCTGTCAGGGCCGGCGAGTCGGGAAAGGAGCCCCCACTCCCGCCCCGCGGCTGGAGAGGCCCACGGTCACCCCAGGTCAGCTGCCATGACCGCCCAGGAAGGGCGCATGGTCCGGAAAGGGGTTCGAGGTTTGGGGCTGGGAATCCAGGGTCCAGGGACTGTGTGTGACCTGAGTGCAGGCCTCCTTGCCCCAGGCCTCTCACCCAGGGGAGGGGAGGGGTTGTGGCCGAGCCCTCTGGACTCAGGCCAGGCTTATCATGGTGGCCTCAGAACTTCTTCCTGGGACGGCGCTGCCTCAGGTGCCCCTTACAGCTACCCTTGCCCGCAGTCTCAGTCCTCCAGCAGAGCCGAGTTTCCTCACTGCAGGAGCCTCTCCAGCGCAGGGGTCTGGAGTCTCCCTGGGAAGAGCACCCTAGTAGAGCCTGCTCCCTGACTCCTGCCCTGGGGACCCTGCAGTCCCAAGCTCCAAGGTCCACCTCAACCAGGGCCTCAGGGACCACTGAGCCCCCAGATGGGCCCTCCTTCTCTCACTTCTGCTACTCACGGTGGGTGGGGGTAGGAGGCCACACCTGTGAGTTACTCTGTCCCACTCTGTCCCACTTCTGTGGTTAGCTCTGGCAAAGACATACCAGGTCACCCACAGGTGTGCAGAGGGGCTACCCAAAGATGGAGCGGTGGTGGCCAGACAGCTTCCCAACTGTGTTGGCTGTGCAGACACGTGGTTCCCAAAACAACCAGGTGTGTGTTGGGGGTGGGGGGTGGTCTGGAAGGAGGACCATTCATCCCCTGGGCCCTGCACTGCTCCAGAAAGAAGCTCCCTGAGAACCAGAGCTCGGGGCTCACTAGGGCCCCCGGTATGCCAGAGGGGAGCCCACTTTTCCTTAGTCTCCCAAACCCTCCTGTTTCCAAAGAGAGCTTAATGATAAATCTAAAGAGAATGGAATGCAGAGATGAAAACTGCAGGGCACAAAGCAGTTGCTCAGTAAATCTGCATGGAAGGGAGGTTCTTCCAGCCTCCTCCAGGGTCCTGGGCAGAGCCTACTTGCTCTGCAGCTTGCTCTGGAGTCCTGGCTCTAGCCCTCCGGCTCGGAAACTGGAAAATCACCTGTGTTCCTTCCTGGGCTGAGGGTGGGAACAGGGAGGCCCATCCTATAGGGCCACCAGGCCCTTCTCTGAGCTCTCTGAGGATCCCTGCCTGATGCCATCCACTGGTGCCTCTGCCAGGCCTGGGGTTGGGGGAAGTCCTTCCCAAGCCCCCTCATTACTCCCTGAGGAAGCTATAAACACACACTGACCCCACAGGACACAAAATAAACCTCTTCAACCAACATGCCATGTGGTAATGCTGAGTGCACACCCCCCACTCCCACCCCACCCCCATTCTTGCCCTTGAGCATCTAGGCAGATGACCTCGGGTGACAAATATGTTTTCCCTTCCCTGGATATTAAAATAAACAAGACTCCTCAGCAACTCCTGCTTCCAGAATCAAAAATAAGTGTCTCTTGGGCTGAAGGTGAGGCCAAGGTGCTGGTAGGGGACCACCTAATGGTAGCTTCCAGTGGGGCGGGGTAGGGGGACCAGTGGGGGACACACATGCCCATATACACATGGGGAAGACCCCTGAAGCTGGGGGAGACTCGCTTTGGCCCTGGGCCCTTCCTGAGGGCTGAGGGGGTTCCCATCTGGCTCAGGACACTGGAACCGCCTGCTGACACCTCTGCACCTGTCAGGGCCAGCTGTCCACTTTGAATCCTGATATTCTCCCTGGAGCCAGGCTCCATGGCTATCTTTAGTGCTGCCAACCCAGAAAACCTCCCCAGGGGCTCTGCCAGTGTCTTCTGGCCTTCCCCACATCAGAGGCCTTCTGAGCACAGATCCTGCCTGTCTTCCCTTCTCAATGTTGTGGTCCCAATCCTACAGCCCTGCTAGGGTCTCTCCAAGCATCACAGTCAGACCCTGCCCAACTGGGAATGCAGCCCAGCCCAGGTCTCCCACGTTAGTCACATGTTCTCCCTCTGGGAGTCCTCCAGGCCGAACCCAAGGGAGCCCCCAGGTCCCCGCAGTGGGTCATGCCTCCCCAAGTTCCACGGGGTGCCTGTTGTCCCATACTCATGGCAGGCAAATGGTGTCTGCCCCTGGGATCACATGTGGCAGCACCTCAGAGGTGTCATGTGACTGAAGGGGTGTGCCCCTGGGGGCAGGACCCCTGCCATGGTGGCACTCACATGTGATGTGGTTCCCAGAGGTGCCCTAGGGGACCCCTGCTGCTGATGCCTACCCCCGCCCATGGTACAGGAACAAGGGGCTCTGAGGGCTTGTTCTCCAGGTGCAAAACTGCAGTCCTGACTGCCCTCTTCATTCTACCCCCAGGCCTTCTCCTTCTGTTCAGCCTATAGACCCCCATCCTTTCCTGCCCCTAACCTGCACTCCCCGCAACCCAGGACTAGGGCACCCAGCCCCTGACCCTGTGGTGACCTCTAATATCCGGCACCAGGTCTCCCGCCCAGACTCTGCCTGCTGGGCTCTGCCTGCTGGGCCATGATGTAGTGGGGAATTTGGTCCAGGGCCCAGCCCATCTGGATGGCCCTCCATCCCAGAAATGTTATCCCCACTCTGTGCCAGGCAAGGAGCTCCCTGCCATGGGGATACCTAGGGCCCTGGGACTTTTCTGCCACTGAAGCAGAGAGGTGAGGGCGCACACAACATGCTCAGAGAACACTTGGTCACCAGCCCCCAAGGCCACTCACAGTGACTTTGTGCAAACCTAGGAAAGGTACTCCTTCTGGCTCCTGCAGCTGCCCAGGTCCTCATGCAGGTGGCCCTGGAGATGCACAGAAAACAGGAGAACAAAGCCTTCTTGGTGAGCTGCCTGGGAAGCTGGGGGCCCTGCTGGGCAGGGCAAGATGGCGGCATCCGAGTCACCCGCCAGGTGCCAAAGCTCACTCTGCAGTTGTCCAGTCCCCAGGGTGGCCCTGGGCCTGTCCTTGTAGGGAGAGGCAGCCGGAGTCCGAGCTGTCCTGGGGGACTGGGTAGGAGTTTAAGACGGGTGACCTGGGCAAGGAGGGCACAGACCATCGCATCAGGCAGACCCAGGCATGGTGAGTGTGGCCAGGAGGCCACCGGGGCAGGATCGAGTGTGAGTGTGCATTTGGGACTGTGTGTGCACGTGTGTCACCTACATGAGTGTGTTCTGTGGGAGTGTGTGTGCACAAGAGTTGAGTTTGTTTACATGTGTAAGGGTGTTAGGTGGGGAAGATCTGTGCCCCATGGCTGCCTCAGTGACATCTGGGGCTGGAAGATGGAGGGTCCTGGCCTTCACACTGGAGGGATTCCTAGAACTGGCCCACCCACTTGCTGGCTACTTGCACAGTCCATTTGCTCCTTGGACATTCAGGCCCAGCTGGCTCCTGGCTGGATGGCAGATGGAGCAGGACAAAGCTCAAGACGAGCCCTGGGTACAGTGCTCTTAGGACCTTGTCAGGGCTGCCCCAGCCCAGGGACCCAGGTTTGGGGTCCCCCTGGAGCACCTAGTGCCATAGCCCACCTGTCCTCTGTGTTGTCTTCCAAAACACCAGCCTGGAGACCCCTCAGCCTTGGTGTTCTCACATTAGGCCAGCAGGAAGACTAAGAAGAAGGAAGGGGGTGGCCTACGGGCCCAGAGGGCATCATCCAACGTCTTCTCCAACTTTGAGCAGACCCAGATCCAGGAGTTCAAGGAGGTGAGGCTTTGCTTTTGTCCCAGGACCCCTCCACCCAGTAACTCCTGCCCAAGGGGTCCCCTGTGAATCGTAATGCAGGTGACGAAAAGACCCTACGTGAGCCTCACTCCAGACCCAGTGAGAATAGATGCCTCTCCTAACATGGTGTGGCCAGCCTGGCAACCCAGTGACCCTGGCCTCGGTTGCAGGCATTCACACTAATGGATCAGAACCGAGATGGCTTCATTGACAAGGAGGACCTGAAGGACACCTACGCCTCTCTGGGTAGGTGCCGTGGGACAGAGCTCTCTAGAACCCACCTCAGAGTGTCCTCCAGTCCTGGAGAGCTTTGCTCTGTACCTGGGCCTTACAGCCTGACCTGACATCCCATTCCTCATGGGCTGCTAGGATGTGGGCTGGGCCTCCCCTAGGGGAGAAATCCCTCTGGTTTGATCAGGGCATCACAGAGTGGGTGGCACAGCCCAAGCATGGGTATCCTGGATGAGGAGGTTGGGACCAAAGCTCCAGGGAGGGGCTAACACCCCAGAGGGACACCACTGCATGGGGAGGCTTGTCCTCCTTCCCCCAAGCATGGTAAGGGAGCCCAGAAATAGAACTTGGAGGACGTGGAGGCTGGATCCTGCCCCTCTGAAGAGCCAAAGGCTGGGCCTTTCTCCCTCAACTTCCCATCTGGGGGCATGTTCTCAGCCTGAGGCAATCCCAGGGGAGAACAGGTAGGTTTCTTTCCTCTGGGCCCCCTTACACCCAGGTAAGCAGATCACAGGTCTTCCTGGGCTCCATGCATGGCCTCTTCCTCCTCCTCAGCTGCCCATCTCCCCAGGGCTCAGGGTTTGGGGTTCTGCTGACATGCAGACCTGGGCCACCACACCTGGGCCAAGTATCCCCCCATTGGTTCACCTCCCTCCTTCTGGCCTCCCCAACTTTGAATGATGGAGGTGGGCAACCAGTGGGGACAGCAGACACACCAACAATAGGACAGCCGGGGGGGGGGGGTGACATTCCTGCCCATGCCTTGTATCGGCGACAGGCAAAACCAACATCAAGGATGATGAGCTGGATGCCATGCTCAAGGAGGCCTCAGGGCCCATCAACTTCACCATGTTCCTGAACATGTTTGGGGCAAAGCTGACAGGTAATAGCCATGGGGTGGTGAGCACCATGGGTCCAGGCTCCTCCCTGGGTAGGGGCAGCCCTCAGGCCAGTCTGCCAAGACAGACTGTTAGCTCCTAACACTTAGAAATCCAGACATTTCACATAAAAATCCAGATTTTCAGATTTGCTGAAAAGCCCTAGGACCTGACATTCTGGTACCCGCATCTGTGGGTCACACACCCAGGGGGCACATGAGCTCAGCCTTCCTCCTGTCTGCTTCGTGGCGATAGCCTCTGTCCTTCACTCATTGAGCACTCACTCCACTTTGGGGCCTGGGCAGGATTCTGGGGACCCCCAGAGCAGTCCCCTCAGAGTGGGAGCTGCAGGGTCTCCCAGGTGCTCGGGAGCTGGACGGTCATTCAGGCCAAGCCTGGGGTGGCCCAGAGCAGGACTGGAGCCCTAAACAGCCCATGGTTCAAGGCCTTTTGTGGGCAGGCACGGATGCCGAGGAGACCATCCTAAATGCCTTCAAGATGCTGGATCCCAACGGCAAAGGCAGCATCAACAAGGACTAGTGAGTGTGGCCACAGGCACCCAGACATCTCCCCTGAGGGATGCCAAGCCTACCTCCCCTCACCCCACCCCAATCTCCAGGCCTTGGGCTGCCTGCCCCAAGATCCTGAGTCCCTCGGGTAGCTGAGGACAAAGCCAGTCTTGCCTACACAGGGCTGGGCACCCAGGGACTCAGCTGGTCACCACCACTTGGACCATCACTGGGTCTTTAAGTCCTTTGGGGGCTAAATCAGCCAAGTGGGCATATCTGGTGTACCAGGCACTTGCCTCTAATCTCCCACAGTCTCCTCCCTGCAGAGGGAGCCCCCCACCCACCAGGGGTGGTGACCCCTGAGCGTGTGAGTCAGGAAAGACTCCCTGATGACCACTCCCTGGTGCCCAGGCTTTAGCCAGGCTTCTGAGAGGCACTTGTGCTGTGGGTGGGTGGGATTGAAGGGTGAGCAGATCCCCGCCTTGGGGTATCCCACAATGGAAGAGCCAATGATGTGAACTGACCCAAGTCATGGGGCTCCCTGGGGCCACCCCTCCAGTTCTTCCCCTGCCAATTCCTTTCTTCAGTGCAGCCTAATTTAGCTCCTCCCTCCTTGTCCTCAGCATCAAGCGGCTGTTGATGTCCCAGGCAGACAAGATGACCGCTGAAGAGGTTTGGCCCACTCTGCCCTCCCCCAACTTCCTTCCCCCATGCCCCTCTGTGAAGCTCAAGGATAGCCCTCAGGGCTCCAGTGGGTGGGCAGTTAGCTAGGGGGATTCACCCTGGGCCCCCAGAGGCTGCAGCAATGGGGTGGGCAGTATACCCCAGCCCCGCCCCTGGCTCTGCCATGTGATTCCCCCCCCCACCTCCCTTTCCCCCACCCCCACAAGCAAAAACAACACTGGAGCTGGCTGGAGTTCGGTGCCTGTAATTCATCAGACCATTTGCTCCTTCCCCTCGTCCCTGGGCCTGACTCCCCCAACCATACTGGCTTGCAGGTTGACCAGATGTTCCAGTTTGCCACCATCGATGCTGCAGGCAACCTGGACTATAAGGCACTGAGCTACGTGCTCACCCACGGGGAGGAGAAGGAGGAATGAGGGGCATCTCCTCCATCCGCACCCGGGCTGCAGCCAGTTCAATAAACATGAACCCACAAACCTGCCTGCCAGTGTCTGCAGAGGGAGAGGAGGAGGGGTCCACCTGCGGGTGGGAGGGTCTGCAGGTGGGAAACCTCTGCCTGGGGGTGGGAGATGTGTCTGCTGTGGTGGGGAGAGTTTGGGGGAGGGTCCACTGGGGGTGGAAGTGTTTGCTTGGAACTGGGAGAGTCTGGAGGGGAAGGGTCTGGTGGGGGTGGGAGCATCGATCTGCCTGTAGGGCCCTCCCTCTGCTTCCCCCTCCCAGCCCAGCCTGACCCCACCTGCTGTCCTAGCACTCATGCTGGGAGTCAGGTCACTCAGTGGTCAGCAGAGGGTGAGAAAAGCTATGGGTTGGGATTCCTCAAGGAAGGCATTTCTCACAAGTGTCCATTCCAGACTCAGTCATGCCGGGGGCCCTCAGGACTCCCAATCCATCCAGTTCCCCACCAGCCCTTGTCCCTCATGCCAGGTCCATCCCCCACACACTGCTCCTGCACCAGCCACCACCCTGGGTCTGGCCTGGCCACTGGGGCACCTGCCTGGCCAGCGGCTGCTTGTCCACACAGCACCAGCAGTTCATGCTATAGCCACAGGGTCTCCCCTAGGCCATCCTGCTGCGCTCTGGGTGTGCCGAGGACTCCAAGGCCCTCTGGCATCTGCGGGATGCTGTCACCCTGTGACCAGAGCCTACCCCTCCTGGCCTCCCCTTCATGTCCCCAGGACCACTTCTTGATGCACCAACTGCTCTTTTGGCTTCCAGAACTCTGCAGGGACCCCTGTGACCTCTCTGCAAGTCCTGGGGGCTCCAGCGGCTCAGGGCTCCCCCGAACGAGCAGGTAGGGCCAGGAGAAGGGCTCTAGGAATGAGTTGCCCCTGAGCTTCCTACAGTCCATGCTGGAGGTCGTGGGGGTGTGGCCGAGTGGAGCCTCAGGGGGCGGCTGCCGGGCAGGGCGCGTGATCTGCAGCCTCTGGGGACGTGTCCTCCTGGATGGAGTGGCTCTCATTGGCCTCAGCCTGTCGGCGCCGGTACCGGGTATGGAAGAAGAACACCAGGAAGCAGCTGAAGAGGGTGCACAGGCCAGCCATCAGCAGCATGGACACTAGGGAGACACAGCCCAGCTCTGTTCTGAGGCTTGCCCAAGCAGCCAGAGCTCCCCACCCCTGACCCAGAGTAGCCACAGAGCCCCAACTGACCCCACTAGCCATGACCAGAGTGCCCTGGAAACAGGCCCTGAGGGCAGTTCACAGACCCAGGCGTGGTGAGCTCCAAGGTCACCGGTACAGAGTCTGCAGATGTGGCCGTCCTCACCCCCGTCTCTCTCGGCCTCTCTGTCTCTTTCCCTGATCTCATTTTAAAACGACTCACATGGGGTTTAAATGTTGGGCTTTCACCAGGGTCTCAGGGCTGCTCCCACCATAGTGAGCCTTGGAGGGGAAAGGTCAGCCTTGTTGCCCTCCGACACCCCCCCCCGCACCCCTGCCCCTTGGGTGCCCTGCACATGCCAAGGAGAGTGAAAGGTGCCAAAAGAAAGGGGCCCATGGAGGGGAGGTTCCAGGGCTGGAGAGGGTGCTGGGGAGCCCAGGCACTGGCCTCCTGGCTTGTGCCCTTGGGGGCTCTATGCAGGCGGGGGCACTCACCCATCCAGTCCAGTGGGCCCTGGCCATCCTGGCAGGTGGAGACGGACGGCTCCGCGCGACGTGTGGTCAGGCCAGTCAGCAGGACCATGACGAGCACACCCTCGGCCTGCCTGGACAGCCACAAGGCCTTCAGCCCTGCCCCGGGCACTGCTCAGTACTCACATGGCCATTGGTCACTCTGAGGGCAGTGTCCTGTTCTGGCCCATGTGGGCACAGCAGCCAGCCCGGGGGCAGCACGCAGCTCACAATGTGGTGGCCTCTGCCCGAGCAGGCAGGTCACCCACTGTGTAGCCTGGGGCGGGGCGAGGAGAAGGTCTCTGGGGTCCCCAGGGAAGTGGTGGAGGGACAGACACTCACCCCAGCACGATGACCAGGCCTGCCGCTGCACCCTCCCCCACAGGGAAGGAGCACTCAACGGCGAGCTCCATGGCAATGGGCGCCACCGAGAAGCCAAAGAACCCCAGCAGTGAGCAGAGGGCAGCCAGCGCGAAGGTCTGTCCCTGCAGCTGAGACACCTGAGGGACAGCGAGCCACACAGAGGGACAGGGCAGCAGTCAGAGTGCACAGCCCCGGACACCCAGGCCCAGCCAGGCCCTGCACCAGCACCCTCTCTCAGCTGAGCAGGGAGCAGGGATGGGGCAGTGCCCAGGGTCAGGGGGCCACCCCAGTGGGCAGTGCCCAAGCCTGAGAAGGTCTGAATGTCTGCTTTGACCCATTTGTCAGCTGCCCTGCCCCCAGAGCATCCCACCTGCATGCCTGTAGGGTGGTCTTGGTTCAAGGGGACTCTCACCAGGGCAAAGGCCACGCAGACCATGGAGGTCAGACAGAAGCCAATCTTGACAGCTTCAGTGAAGTGTTTGGTCCGGTCCACATACAGGCTGAGAACCAGTGCCCCCAGGACTCCAAACCCAATGAAGAGAGCCCCGCAAAGGCCTGCAAATTCCTGGAGGAGAGAAGGTCAGGGGCGCCCCATCATTGGGTCACGGTGCTACCAGGGCCCCAGGAGAAGGAGCCCATCCTCGGGGCACACGCCATCACCGAGAAGCCCATGGCAGGGTGACATGGAAGGCTCAGCTGCATGGTTAGCCATGAGTGAGGGACGGCATGTCCTCCCCTGCAGGTGCCTCTTTCCTATGGCACCCCACCCCGGGAACTCAGCAATTGCTAAAGGAAAGGGCCTCAGGGCCTGTGTGCTCCTCATGAGTTGGGAACACACCAGGCCTGAATCCCACACCTAGGGCTGATGCCAGACAGCAGAGGGCAGGGTCAGAGATGCTATGAGCAGAGCAAGGCCCTCCCGATCTCCAAGTATCAGAAGAGGACCCTTCCCTGGAGACCCGCAGGATTGGGCCATCCTGAGTGGGGCATTGGGAAAGATAGTGAAAAGCACCACACAAAATCCCAGTACCTCTTTGGGCACCGCCACCACCCCTCCCCAGGGCCACGACCCCGCCATCAGACTGTATTTGGCACCTGCCACGTTTCACACACAACATCTCAATACCACCCACAAGAGGAGGTTACCCTGTCCAGGCGTGGAAACCCAGTGTCTGGGGCAGACAGCCTTCGGGCTAACAGTAATGGCCCCCCAGCCCCTCCTTGCACAGGAGGGGGGGCTGGGTGGAGCCAGCACTCACGTTGGAGTAGCCCTTCACACAAAGGACCTGCTCCAGGAGGACCGAGAAGCTGGAGAAGATGCCGATGCCGCCCCCGAAACACACGGCAAGGATGATATAGGCTCTGTTCCGCAAGAGCTGGAGGAGAAGACGCCGCTCAGCAAGGAGCCCCAGCGGGATACTCAGGATACCGCAGCAGGGCCTGTCCTGTCCCCCTCCCCTCCTCAGCCTCCTCCCTGCACCAGGTCACCCCCGCCCTGGATCCCACAGCACTAACCAGCTTCAGCCCATCCAGGAACTTCTCTGAGGTGGAGTGGGCAGCCCCTGCAGAGGGTGGGCTAGGAGGTACGCTCTCCCAGAGGCAGGCAATGGCCAGGAGACAGGCAAGGCCGGCAGGGATGATATAGATGCCCAGCTGGGGAGAGGGCATACCTGAGTGTGTGTGTGTGTGCGTGCATGTGTACGTGCATGGGGCTTCACACCCACTGTTCTGGGCACACTGCCGCCTTGCCGACAGACAAAGGCGAGCCCCAGGGCCCGCTTTGCTCTGCTTCCTCTAGAACCCTGGCTTTCAAAATATCACCCATAAATGACTCCCACAATGACACCCTTAGCCAGCCCTCTCCCAGGGCCCCAGACTCACCCATTCAACCGCCAACTGAACCTTCCTGCCGGCCTTCGTGAATGACCCCAACACATACCCAGCTGCACAGCTGGAACCCCCTGCCCTTCCAAACCTGGCCTGAGCCTGCCCCTGCTCCCCAACCCAACCCACCTGGACACCGCAACCATGCCTTTGGCTCCCCGAGCCTCTGGACCAGGTCAAAGCACTCTCCCCTTAGACACTCCCAGGGTTTCCAATGCCAACCACCTGCCCCCTGGGTTGGCCCTTCCCTCCATCCTTCCTTTGCTCAGCAGACACATTGGCCTCTGGCTGCAGCCCCCACCCCTCGCCCTCACGTCCACCTCAGGCATGTGGGAAAATCCTGCGTGCACCAAGTGCACTTGCCGAGGTGGTCACAGGGAGGGGCACGTGCACACTCACAGACAGATGTGGGCACACATGCACACGCACGTGTGTGTGTGCCCCATGAGCTCCCTCACCATCATGGGGATATCCTCCTCCCTCTTCACCAGGGCAGGCGATAGCAGGTTGGCCACCAGGATGCCCAAGGGGTTTGCTGGATGGACAGATGGAGACACGTGTCCGCCCAGCCGTGGCCAGGCCTGGTCCCCAGCCCACAGCCAGAGCCCTTTGCCCTCTGAGAGCTGGGTGTGCATAGGTACCAGGACCCACTCACTAAGCCACAGAAGACCGTCAGCCTCAGCCCTGCCACTCACACATGGTGCCGATCATGTTGGCTGTGGCTCGCTGGTGCTCTGGGAACCACAAGGCAGCCAGCTTGGCCGGAGAGAAGATGACCAGGGTCTGTGCCAGGGCACAGAGACTCTGCCCACCCATGAGGAAGGGAAATGGGTCCTGGATCTCGATGAACAGGAAGGGCAGGGTTCTAAACACACTCCCAGCCAAGTTCAGCCATGCGCACACGATGGTCTGTAGGGATGGGGTCAAAGCACTGCCTGGCCAGCCCAGACTCCCCTCCCAGCACCCTGGCCCCTGCCCTGCCACCCGAATGGCTCTGCCTGGAGACCCCTGGGGAAGAAGCAGTGGTTCTTGAGCCCTGACTCAAGGACCCTGCCCCCATCTAGGAGAGAGCCCTGGCGTGGGGTCTAACTCACTGCCCAGCGGAGCCCAACAGAGTCCAGAACCCAGATGGCCACCACACCAGACGGGATGGACGCCACAAGGTAGATTAGCGAAAGCCAGTTGATCTGCTTGGTGGAGAGGAAGAAGTGGTGGGCAATCGTGTCGGCCACGGGCGCGAAGCTGAGCCACAGCTGTGGATACACATTGGTGTCAGACCAGGGGGCAGGGGCCACAGATACCCCAGCCACCTGCTGTCCCAGGCTTGGCCAGCCAGCCTGAGGGAGGGGGTGTCTGGCAGTCCCATAAGGGCCAGGGTCTTCACCCAGTCACCTCCGAGGGGATGCACCAGGTGGGGGGGTCAGACAGTGTGCCTGGGATAAGGGGCAGCCCCATCCTGCAGACACGGTCCTAATGGTTAGACAGAGGCAGAAGACCTGGCCAGAGCCTGCAGGACCGTGAGCCCCACCAAGACTGACTCTCTAAGAAGGCCCAGAGGGCTGTCAGTGAGATGCTGATGACTGCAGGGGGAAGAGAAGCTCTATATGGTGAGTGGGCATGAAGGGGTCTAGACCAGGTGCTGGACGGCACTGGGGCCTGGGAGGGTAGAAAAGGGGGCCCTGATGAGGGGAGCTGGTGGCCCTGCCACCCTAGTCGCATAGATGTGTAGACTACCCAGATGGCTGGGCAGAGGAGCGCATCTGTGGTGAACACCCAGGTAGATAAGGGTAGGAAGTAGGGTGGGCCTGGAGCCATTGAAGGGATAGTGGAAGGGATGTTTCCATGGAGGGGAGAGAGGACAGAAAGAGGCCCAAAGGTATCTCCAGCTTGTCTAGAAACTCGGTGACTGAGACCCAGGTGGAAACACCTGGATTGTGTGCTGGCCCTGCCCATGGCCAGCCCACCTGTCCTACAGGAGGTAAGACCCTCCCTGACAGCCTGACAAGTGATATTTCCCAGCCTTAGGTGCTGTCAAGCACTGGGACTCTTAACCCCACAGACCTTCAGCAAACAGTACGTTCGATTAGGTCAGTGCAGAAGACTTCCTGGAGGAGGTGACACACTGTCTCCTCCCTGAAGGATGGGTGAGAGGAGGGGCTCTCCAAGGCAGGAGAGAGATGGGAAGCAGGCCAGCGATGGACCAAAGACAAAGGTACCACAACTCAAAGTTCACAATCACTGCAACTCTGTGAGACCGGGAATGCAGAAGCTGGCCCCAGACCACACCCTCTGTGGTGAGGCGGGTGAGATCCAGGCTTGCTGACCCAAGCAGATACTGACTGCAGAGCCTCACATGACAGAGAACTTGGGCAACAGCTGCCTTTTCTTCCTTTTTTCTTTTTTAGGGGCAAAGCAGAGGACAGATCTTCCAGGTACAGAAAGAGACCCCATGCAGGTCCAGCTGCTTCCTGCCCAGCCCGATCCAGCTGAGAGAAAGCATGGTATCTGTTCTCTAAACCTGCCCTGCTGAGCCAAGCCCATTCCTTGTTCCTCCCCAGGTTTGTGGCCGGCAGAGCAGAGACAGGTCTAAACTGTGCCAGACAACAATGTGTCCCCAGTGCAAAAGAATTCCCTTCAACCTGCTCCCAGCTACCTCCCTCTGAGCATGCCAATAGCTGCCCCGCATGCTGGCTCCTGCCCAGACCACTGGGCCGTCTCCTCACACCACTTTGGGGCCCCCCAGACCTCACTCCAGGCACTGCTCCACCTGCCTCTGACACTGCCCTCTCAGAGCCTGGGACCTTTGCTCGCCCAGCTGCAGACGAAGTACACACGTGGACTTGGATGGGGTAAGACTGATGGTCAGTGCTCGCTGTGGTGACCAGAGCAGGGATCACAATTCCTGGTGAGAGTCCTGTTTGCTCCATAATAACTCATGGACTGAAGGGGAGTGAGCAGGATGCTGCCTCAGTGTCCAAGGGAGTTCTTGAGGCCATTCATGATACCCATCCACTCTCAGACTCATCAAAGCAGTTTTGGGGGCTGAAGGAGACCCCTGCTCTGTGTCCTTAGACCACTGCACCAAAAACCAATTCTGGCTTCCTAGCCAGCTAGACAGGGACCCGGTGGAGGCCACAGTGGTGAGTCCCACAGAAAAAAGGTTTCCAGACTCATAGCAGACTTCAGCCCAGGCCATGGACGCCACGTGTCGCGGCACGGGGCTGGCTCTCCATACCCAGTCTGGCAAGGAAAGGAGGAAAAAGGTCCTGATCAGTTTGGAATAACATCCAAGAGTGGTTGCTGCTCAAGAACCTCCCTGAGGCCGTGTCTGCCCAGAATGTCCATACCTGCCTGCCGATCCCTGCTCATGGGTCTGAACTTCCTGATTGTCCCTCGGCCACTCACAGCCTCCCCCAGCTGCGGATCCTGCTGCCAAGGTAGCTTTTCACTACATGATTACCTGGCGCCCAAATGCTGCCTGCCCAGTACCTGGGGTTCTGTGGCAAGCTGAGCAGTCATGGGCAAGTTCCTTCAGGCACACTCAGGAGGTAGAGGTGGCAACACCAAGGAAGAGATACGTAGGGTGGCCCAATGGAGGGTGTGACAGCCCTGTAGCCTGACCCCATGAGCAGGTGGCCAGGAGAAAGTCAGGTATGGGAAGACTAGCTCCAAGCCCTCCCTCCATTCAAGTGCCCGTGGGTGTCTGTCCAAGGGGCAAGGGGCTGGGGGCAGCAAAAAGTTCACTCCACTGAGCCCACTGTATGTGATGGGCTGGGGAAAGAGGGGCCCAAGCCCCTGGGCAGAACTGGGGGCTCAGGGGTGAGCTGGGGAGAAGCAGGTTGGGAAGCTGGGCCCCAGTAACTGGTAGATCCTGTTCTCAGTGGCTGATCAACTGGTCTCAGGGGCTGAGTCCCTGCCAGCAGTGGGAACCATTCTAGAACAGGTAACCAGTCACTGGAGACCCCGGCTGGGGAGCTATAGAGAGACTGGGTGTACAGACAAGGAAGCCTCCATACTGAGTCACGGCACAGGGCCAGGGCACAGGTAAGCAAAGGCGGCTGGGCCCTGCCCTGCCCTGTGGGAGTGGGCTCGGGAGTCTGGAGACCGAGGGTGGGAGCCAGATCATGAGGCCTGCTGCCAGCTGTCGGGTCTTCCAGAAGGGAGTGGGGCCACTGGAAGACCCCTTTTCAGCTATGACAGTGACTCCCGCGTCGTCCTGAAGCAGGAGAGGGATTCTTTCGAAACCACTACGGGTCACAGGAACGAGGCTCTGACACCGCGAGGACAGACGCTAGCCCCTTTTCTCCCTGTGCAGCCAGGAGGAGGGCCTCTGGTCCCGCGCCTCCGCACCTGCTGAGGTCGCTGGCTCCCTGGCTCCCAGCGGTCCCACTGTCCGGTCGGGGTCCTTACAGACCGAGACCCCTGGGCGCACTGGGACGCGGGAAGGTGGGCGGAGCGCGATGACTCGGACCGGGGCCCAGCTCGGCCCGGCCCGCCCCCCGCCCCGCCGAGAGGCAGCCCCAGACCCCTGTACCGTGGCGTTGGAGAAGTTGAGCAGGCTGAGCACCAGCAAGAAGACCCAGCGGCGCGCGTAGGCGCGGTAGCCCAGCAGCGCGCCCAGGGCCGAGGTCGCGTCGGCCCCCGGCCCGTCCTCCTCCGCTCCCGCCATCGCCCGCCGCTCCCGCCGCCGAGTCGAGCAAAGCAGCGCCTGGGCCGGGACCGCCCTGGGAGGTGGTGCCAGGCGCGCGGGGCGGAGCGCTCGGGATCAGTCCCAGCCCCAGGGTCGCCAGTCACTGCGCCGCCTGGAGGGAAAGGCACCGGTTATGAAGTTAGACCCTCTCCATTAGCCAGGATGGAAGTCTCTGCCCCAGAAACAGGGACGAAGTCCCCTCGCAGGGGCCAAACAGGTCACGAACTCTGTGTGGTCACCGAGGTGGACGCGCCCACGTGGGTGGGCACAGGAGAGGGCATCGGTGAAGTCACTCAGCCCCGCAGAAGGTCCGCATTTCCTGGAAGGGGTTGTGGAAACGTCCCCTCCCCCACCACCACCCCCAATTCCTGCCGTCCAAACAAGGCACAAGGAGTGGCAGGAGGCCAGCATGGAAGAGGAGGCTGGGGTCAGTTTGCAAAGAGTCTCGAATCCAGACAAGTCATTAGATTGGGCCCTGTTGTGGGCAGAGGTGGTGCTGGCCCAGGAGGAAGGTGGAGTCCAAGGCCAGCCCGTCCTGCCCAGGGAAAGGGCAGTTTCACAAGGGTGAACCTGGGGGCAGTCAGCCTCCCCCCCCCCCCCCGTGGGGTTATTATCTTCAGTTGACAATTGAGGAAACAGCTGAGGCAGAGTGGGGAGAGAACTGAGAGCTGGAAGGCAGAGAAGAGGGAGTGTCAGCTGTCTCTCTTCCACAAGAACTCCCCTGTGGGTGGACAGCCTCCTCTCCAGCTTCCTCCCCACCCAGAAGTCCACCGCAGTCCATCTCTTCTACTCTCCAAATAATACTCTCCCTAAGGCCACCTGTGATCTCGATGCGGCTGACATAGATGGACATGAGACAAGCCTGGCACTCTTGTCCCTCTCCACCTCTGACTCTCCTGCTCAGCTAGGGGACGGGGGCCTCCTCCCCATCCCTAGGGCTCTTCTGTGGAGTAGGCAGCTTAGTAAGGTCACAGTCGCAGGTCTACATGCAAACAACGAACATGCAGAAACTAAAATTAAACACACAATAACATTTACAATTACTTCGGAAAATTAAACACTTGGGTCTGTAAAAATTAATAAAAGGAAACCTCAACAAAAATGGAGTCAGGAGTCCAGAAGGAGGAGCTCTCATGCTGTACCATTCAATGTCAAAAATTGCCAGTACAGGGCGCCTGGGTGGCTCAGTTGGTTAAGCGACTGCCTTCCGCTCAGGTCATGATCCTGGAGTCCCAGGAGCTACCTGCTCAGCGGGGAGTCTGCTTCTCCCTCTCCCGCTCCCCCCTCTTGTGCTCTCTCTCTCACTCTCTCTCTCAAATAAATAAAATCTTAAAAAAAAAAAAAATTGCCAGTACAGATCCTAACGGAAGAATCATCAATAGGAAAGAATCATCAGTTACAGGCCTGAAGAGGAAAAGATGTGCATTGACTCTCCTACAAGAAATTAACCACCCCTGCAACTTAGCTGGTGAGAAACTGCCACCGTGGTAGGCTCTTGCCTTTCTCCAGTGGACTTTCATTCACAATAACCCCTTCCAACTTCCTCCTTCTTCTCTTTCAAATAACATTCCTCGCCTTTGTTTTTTGGATTAGCCTATGATTTTGGCTGCAGCTTGCTTGTCCTGCATTGCAATTCCTTGCTATTCCTGAGTAAACTCATTTTTTTTTCTTGCTGGTAAAATAACTGACTTTTATTTTTAAGGTCAACAGGTACAAAATTAGCAAACTGTACACAGGACTTGTATGCTAAAAATTATGCAACACAAATGAAAGAAATTAATGAAGACCTTAAAAAAAAAAAAGGATCCATGTTCCAATCCATGTTGATGGATTGGAAGACTCAACACAGTAAAAATGTCAGTTCTCCCCAGATTGATCTATGGACCTAATGCTACTCCTATCAAAAGGGTTTTGTAAACATAGACTGGGGGAAAATATTTGCAAACCACATATCCGACAAAGGACTGGTATCTAGAATATATAAAGAGCCCTCAAAACCCAACAGTAAAAAAAAAAAAAAAATTCCAATTATCAAGACATGAAAAGACATCTCACTGAAGAGAATATACAAATGATAAGTGATGATGAATGGCTAACATCACTAGCTATTAGGAAAATACAAATTAAAACCACAATGAGATACCACTATACACCTTTCAGAATGGCTGAAAGAAAAACCAATGACATCCAATGCTGGTGAGGTTATGGGTAACTCAGTTACTCATTCATTGCTGTTAAGAATGTAAATGGTAGAGCTACTGCAGAAAACAGGTCAACAGTTTCTTATAAAACTAACATGTAATTATCATATGACCCAGCAGTTTCACTCTGAGGCATTTATCCCAGAAAACTAAAAACATATTTTCAACAAAAATCTATACCCAAATGTGTGCAACAGCCTTATCTGTGATACCCCAAAACTGAAAACAACCTATTTGCCTTTTACTGAGCAAATGGTTAAGCCAACCACAGTGCATCCACACCATGGAATGGGGCTCAGTGGGAATGGACTGTTCATACACCAAGCAGTTGGGGGAATCACAGGGTAATCATGCTGAGTGGGGGCAGTCTCTCACTGGCTGGGCTGTTGCTGGGGGAGAAGGAAACTTTCCTCCTCTGGGATAAAGTAGTAACTACAGGGGCACTGACTTACTTTTGAGGTCCCTCTGTTCTTTTTGTGTCTGCAATTCAGAGCTTCACCTGTGGAACCTCCCTATTCCATTTTAGTGAGGTTTCCCTTTATTAATATTCACAAGTTCCATTTGTTTATATTTTTGAAAAGATACAATTTTAGAAGTGGAGAGCAGATCAGTGGTTTGAAGAGGGAGCGGAAGGGAGACGGGATCCTCCTGGTGATGGAAATACTCTGTCTTGACTGTGGCAGTGGGTACAGGACTCTACGTATGACACAGCCATGTGATGTCAGTGTAAGCAAAACTGGAGAAATCTAAGATCATGATTCATCAATGTTGGTATCATGGCTGTGTTTTGAAGATGTCATCTTTGGGGGAAACTGGGCAAAGCATACAAGGAATCTCTGTATTATATCTTACAACTGCATTTGAATCTATAATTATCTCAAAACTCACACAACATGGAAAGCACACTCATTTGGAAACAACTTCTTCCACTCTCACATTTTATTTAAATTTGGGCAAGTATCTTCAACATAAGCATCTCAGCTGTTCAAGTTTTGAATCGAGGTACACCACCATCTACAAAGGGTCATTCTGCACCCAGATTCCAACTGCACACTGTTGGGACCACCACATCTTGAAGAAACCCTTCAGTGATCTCCACCTGTGTCTTCCTTCAACAATGATCTTTATGGGGCGCCTGCGTGGCTCAGTTGGTTGAGTGGCTGCCTTCGGCTCAGGTCGTGATCCCAGCTCCTGGGATCCAGCCCCGCATCGGGCTCCCTGCTCAGCGGGGAGCCTGTTTCTCCCTCTCCCACTCCTCCTGCTTGTGTTCCCTCTCTCGCTGTGTCTCTCTCTGTCAAATAAATAAATAAAATCTTAAAAAAAATGATCTTTAAAGGTTTAAAATAACACCTGACACACAATTATGACTAAACCTTTGTGCCAATTCTTTATCTCCTTTTTCCTTAACCAAACACAGACTCCCATCAGCATCCCAAACTAGCATTAATCAAGGCTTTTTCAGGCCACTGTGTCTTCCCTAAACAGTATCTTGTTCAGAATTAAGCAACTGAGAGCAGTCCCTTTGCCAAGGATGGAGCAAAGCCAACACCTTCTTCGCTGAGGGTATTGGGGGAAAAAATCTCACCTTAGATGATGAGATGGCCACAGCCCATCCTGTTTGTATGGCTTTTACTTGGCTTTTATCTGCTCCTCTCAAGAGAATGTCAGCTATTTGAGGGCAGGAGCCAGTCTGTCCACACCCAAATCCCTGGAACAGGCTGGGGCCAGCACACAGCTGCGGAGGAAGAGACAAGTGTGCAGGGTGGTGACCTCTCTGCCTTGCCCCTGGCCTGTCCAGCAGGTTCTCCACAGGGCGGCCCACTCCCCCAACCCTGCCCTACAGTGTGCATCTTGGACAGGAGCCTCTGAGCCTTCTGATTGCAGACGCACACCCTCTCTTCCCAGCACCCACGTCTTTACTCGTGTCCACCCCATTCTGCTTTCCCCAAGTTCATGGCTGCTGAAAACCCACACACACCGATGCTGCACCACAGCAGGGGACTGAGTAAGCAAATCAGAATCTGGATTCTCAGGCTGTCTCAAAAAGGACGGTGTGACTTCATTCTTATCCATACGGGAGGCCAATCAGGGAATCTGCACTGGAATGTGAACCTGTTTAGTTAAAGGAAGAAAGTCTCTGGTCACTGTGGTCTGTGCTTCAGTTGGTCCCCACCAGAGAGAAGCCCTTGGGGTTGCCTCCTCCTAATCTGTTCTTCTGTCTCTCCCATAGTCTAGGAAGCCAGCCCTGGAGGCTCATTACATATCAAAGTCAGGACGAGTATCTGCAACCCCAGCTGGCTAGCCCGTTTCATGGAGGACTCTGGGGTCCAATCTTTTTCTTGTTGCTCAGACCTGTTCAGCCTGCTAAAAAAGAGGAAGGATCTGAGTTCTCATGTTTCTGTATGCACATGTGAGGTGGGCAGCTTTCTGTATGTGCATGGTGTAAAGTAGTATCTAGTATGTATATGAGAGAGAGAGAGAGGTGGGTATCTAGTGTTGCTGTGCATGGCCTGATGTTTACCTGCTTTGTGTGTGTGTGTCGAATACGAGATGGTATCTAGTGTGTGTTCATGATGTGTTACATAAGACTGTATGGTTTTTGGTATGTGTGGTGCAAGATGGGTCTCTGTCTTTTGTGTATGTGTAGTGGGGTGAAACGGGAAAACAGGCAGCTAATACTTTGGTGGGTAGTGTGCAAAGTGTGTCTACTTTGTGTGTGTGGTGTAAAACAAGTGTGTGTTACATCAGAAGCTGTGCTGGGTCTGAGATTTTGCTCTACCTGTAAGCTCACAAGCTGCCCACAGGTCCCATATATGTGTGTGCAGG